CCCTCAAAACGTGCCGCATCGATCTCTGGAAAACGTTCCTTCTGAACTCCTTCCCTGCTGTGGTTTTTGCGTCTACTCCTGTCAGAGGTGGCAATAAGGCGACCATTCTGTGACCATGCGGCTGCCAACGATCCTTCACCTGAATGTTGGCCAACGTAACATACACTGGATGCCCTACAACTCGGCCATCAGAGCTCAGGTTAGTCGCATCACTGTAGATGAGGACAGTTGCGACCACACCACCGATGGGAATCTCTACCTGAGCCTCTAACCACCAATCTCCGGTCTCGGGACCTGCATAGATTCGCTGGCCATCATGTGTTTTCAGCTTAGTAGCCCAAGTCACAAACCCATGATGATTCTCTGGATCTGAGAACAAACTTTCAACAGCTTTGGCTAAAGAAGTTTTGTGAAGGATTGCAGATCCATCTTGCTTGTCGCTCACATCAATACTCTCCCATTCCTCGATGCCATTCAAATCCGCTAGAAGCTTCTGCTCAAATTTATCCATTGCAGCCTTGTTCCTGTAGGATGGCTTTGTGAATTTGGGGTGATGAATTTGCACGCCAGCTCTGGCCGAACGCCCCGGACACTTCTTTCTATGAAGGTCAAGAGCTTTCCGTGTTCCAAATTTCTGTGTGCAACCGCAGCTAAAAACCATGAAAACATGCTTGAGGATGTTTCACAATCTAGTTTGATAAACTATGGACAGTTGTGGAATCTGAAATCCACAGAAATCTCGTGAGACGTCAAAAGCGATTAAACAGTTGGCGATTAGGATCCATTATGACTTTATAGTGGACATGAACTATATTTAGGCGCTTCACTAAGCTGAGTGGGCGTGTGTTGCGCTGTCCTGTAAAAATCGCCTAGGAACTTAGGGTTCCCTCAAATGGTGCTGCAGGGGAGGCAAAACTGTTAGTGCCCAGGGTAGAATTCGACGGGGTTGGTGAGCTGGATCTCAACCCTTGCGATATTCTCGGAGCCTGGCGCTCCTCGTTGGTTGGACGCGAAGGCGACCCTCGTCACGTCGCAAAAATTTCGCGCGCGTACATTTCCAGGGTGTGACGGCGAGAATGTCACCCGCGTCACAAAGCGAGCCGCTTTGAGCGCGGCGAAACCAGTCGTTGGATTTCGGGCTAAATGGGTTTCGCAAGATTCCAACAACAGGCCCTAACGCGGACAAGTTATGACGCAGAAAACAGACCATGTAAAATCCCATAGCTTACGGTGCTCGAATACGTGTCATAAAGAGCGTGTGCGTAAAAATTGAAAAAAAAAAAAATCAGCTATACTCGACGGCGTATCAAAAGCATCTCCAATTTGTCTATGCATGAAAAATAGGACGAAATATGTTATACTTTCCGTTCACAACTAATCTAATACGCAAGTAGATTTACATGATACAATCACATTTCGGACACCCTAAATACATGGATACATTTTCATAACGCAGAACCACAAAATACGATACACTGCGCGCGCAGCACTGCTTGTAACACGAACAACTCACTTCCGTCGCCCCAACCTGGCAGCTGACCGCTGAAAATTATATGGCAAATTCCGCTGCCTGTCTCCCGTCTGGTTGGTTGGCGATAGAAATTCTCGTATGGCAGCTGGCATATTACCAAGACTGTCCCCCCGCAGATTGCAGGGGGACAGAAACTCTACACAATCCCTCCACAATCGCCCATCGAACTAGGCTAAATGTGCGATGTGGTCTCGGCCGCGCTGAGGGGATAGTCTGACGACTCGCTAGCAGGATAGGCTTGGCGTCTTTTTAAGACATTTTGGAATGTTAGTGGTGGAGTCATCATGGTCTCCGCGGCGCAGTCGTTGGTAGAGCTAGCAGGCCAGGCTCGTTATTCGTAGTCAAACGAGCTGCGGCATCGTCGAGAAGAGCTAGAAGGAAAGGGTTGTGACTCTTAGCCAAACGAGCTGCATCGTCGGGAAGAGCTAGAAGGAAAGGGTTGTGATTCTTAGCCAAACGAGCTGCATCGTCGGGAAGAGCTAGGACGAAAGGGTTCGTTGATCCAAGGCCAACGAACGGCATCCTAAGGTGTTTTGGTGTTTCGTCGAGACATCTCGGGATAGTGGTGGTGGTGGCCATGATCTCACTACTGGCGAGGCTGAGATATTACCAGGAGAAGGCTGCCTTGCTGGCGCATGTCTTCGAACATGTAAGCGCTGGCCCATGTATTTCAATGTGTAAGTGCTGCTCGTTTCCATTCACTTGCATTTCCCTCCCCCCTCGTTTTTTCATTTTCCCCTTTTTTTTCCTGTCGTTCTTCCTTCTTCTTTTCTCCCTTCCTGTCTTTCGATCTTTATTGCTAATTCATTTGTCACTTCTATGTTTCTCTTGTTCTCCCTCTTTTTTCCTTTCCCATTCCCTCCTTTCAGGCTTACCCAGAAAAAGATCGCTCACTATTTCAGCTCTTGAGATTCGTTGCTGTAGGCATGAAGCGATACTCCCCCCTAATGACGCAGCTTGAGCCATCAGAGGCCGGAAGTGAGTCCATGAGGCCGACGATAAAGGGTACAAAGGACGAGTGGGTGCTTCACCGGGTTCTTCTGCCACCCGATTCCGAGTAAGTAAGCATTTGTTGTGTTTCGCCCTATTCCCGGTATACCTTGTGATCTTTCGCCCAATTTACCAAACATTAACACTTATCAGTTACACCCTTTGGTCTGGTATAGATGATGGGATCGATTTCCTCTCTCTGTTTTCCTTGTCCATTTCCTTGAACCCTTCCGTTGGAGTCGGGGCGACGTGTTGTGTGTCAGTCTCGAAGCCAAATCTCACCAGCATCCAGCGACCTACTGACACCTGAGGCCTCCAGCCAGCTCACACTCTGTCTTGCCTTTTCCGGTCCCTCCAACCGACCCCCTCGGTTGCAGTCGAATACATGTGGGCGACGTGTTGTGTGTCAGTCTCGAAGGCCAAACCCCGACAGCATCCAGTGACCCGGTGACACCTGAGGCGTCCAGCTCACACTCTGTTGTTTTCCGGCGAGTGGCGGCCATTCCTGGAGACGAGATGGTTTCATCGCAGCCGTCAGATGAGCCGTTCCGGATCGAGGGAGACCATTTCTGGCTGCTTGCTGACAACCCCGCTGTTCCTGCAAAGGTAGCTGTGACCAGGGTTAGGTTTTGAGAGAATGAATCAGGGTGTAGGGTTGTTTCTTGTATGGGGTTCTGGTGTTGTGTACAAGGTTATGCTTTTTTTCTCATGGCCTCAAATTCAGGGTTTGAGGTTTGAGCTTAATGTTCAGACCCTGTGTTTAGCAAGGGAGGATCGAACTGAGTGCCTGTATTTAACCCTTTATTCGACGCCTCCAAATGTTTTGTACCTTTTTTTCTGCACTGCATATTTTCCTTCCATTCCTCCCCGTTCTTCCCTTATTCTTCTCTTCTCCGGAGGCTTGGGACAGCTGGCGAATTGGCCCTGTGGACCTCGAATGTGTTCTGTTTCTGTGATGACTCAAGGGCGTTAGCATTGTCCACAGCATCGAGAACTTATCTTTCTCCCCTTCCCATATTTGTTCCCAGGAAGCTTGGGACAGCCGCACGTTAGGGCCTGTGTACCTAGAGAGCATTCTGGGAAGAGCGGTCTATGTGGTGCGGTCACCAACGGATCATGGGCCGATTCGGAACAGGTGAGGAGTCTAGTCGTGAACAGGTGAGGAGTCCAGTCGCGAACACTCTAGAAGCTGTATTATAAAGCATGGTCTTTGTGGTGTGGTCATCAGGGGATCGTGGGCCGATCAGGAACAGGTGAGGGGTTAGTTTATCGTCAAGTGTGTGTGCTATTCTGTGTTGTAATCACTGGATGCTTCTGAATTAATCCGGTGAGGTTGGCCATGTCACCTTATGAAATTTGTAGAAGAGCAATCTGTGCCGTGTGGTCCAAGCATGATCATGGGCTGATGCAAAACAGGTGAAGCTTTTTTCTTTTCTTTTCTTTTCTATTATTATTATGGGATTGGCACTTTTGGTAGTGCTACCAGGAGAGGATAGTGGGCCAGTTAATTAACTAATAAGTTGGTCGATGTTGTGAATTTTGATCTGTACTTTTCCATGAACCAGGCCAGGGTTGATTATGAAAGTATTATGGTGGAAAAGGGTTTGTTATTCCTCAGTTACTCTTTATCAAGATTGTGATTCCCCCCCAAAAAACTGAGCACCATTTCTCTGTTCATGTTCTCTTAACCCATCAGCTCCACCTTTGCCTTTCCGTTCCTCATTGGTTCGCTTCAGTTCACAAGCGATGGAGGATGATGCAGCAGTGATGGCGATGGATGGAGACATGGCGAGTCTGTTGCAAAGAATAAGAGGAATGCAATGAGGTCCAGAGGCAATGGAAATTATGAACACTGATCGCTGTGGAGGGTGATTGGGAATAGGATTGTCTAAGGAAGACATCATGTTCCAACTACAACCTGCCTTGAGAATCCTCCAGCATTGACCTTGATAAGAATGTTGTTCAGCTCGTAATGTCTCCAATATAGGGAGTTTGGCTGATTGATCGTAGGACCCATGTAGCAGTTCCAAATCACTATTCGGAGCGTCAGTAGGGCGTACGGGTAACCGTTGACCTTTTGAGCAAGGCTGGGAAGTCCCATGAGCTTAGGTGAAGCAAGTCGCGACAACTGACAGGCTGGACATATCAAGACGACCCAGGCTAGCGACAGTCGCAGACACAATTCCCGAAAAATCATCACAATTCGTCACCATCGAGGAAGCAGAACCGTCGATCTGGCGGACAAACTACCCGATGAAGTTCCATTGGAGTATTCCATCCACGTTTTCTCCGCCTGAGAAAATATCAGTTTCGCAGCCAGTGACAGAGTTTCGCTGAGTAGCTGCAGCTCGCATCACTCTTTCACCTGCGATGGCGCAATGCCAAAACCAGCAGCATAGATCTTGCCGCACTTACCTCTTTTGCCATCCAAGTTCTAAACCTCCCGCCCAACAAGCACCCCCACCCCCAGTACGTAACATCTCATAGCAGCAGCCTCTGTCCCGAGCTAACTAACTACAGCACCAGACCAGCCCATGCCGTCGATTCCCGCCTCCAAACCCGCTAAAGACGCGACCCTGAGGTTAGACAATCCCAGGCCTCTTTGTCGCCCTCCCCACGTCGCATGTCGTTCGCGCACTATACTTTCACTGGAAGTGGCCGCCACTTCTCCCCCCTTCCCACCACCACCGCCGAGTCCCTTTCAAATCAGATTACAGTACGCCGCACCGCTGCATACGTAGTCATTCCTCCTCTCACCCCGTCCCACCGCACCCATTCTGTCGCAAGCAATCCCCCTCACGTTCCCTCTCGCCGCATTTCCCTCCCTATTCACCGAACCTCTCCTCCCCCATTCCAGTCCTCCTCCGAATCTCTCGACGCTCTCACCCTCACGTTCCACGCTTGTATCTCCCCCTCTTAGCCAAGCCATTCGTCTCGCACCCTCTGTCCCGTACGAAACAGCTCACTACGGGCCACGTGTAGTCTAAGTACACGAGTAGTACCCCCTCCAAGTTGCCGCCGCGACATTTCTACGCGCGTCGTATGCCCGGCTGTTGTCTCGCATCGCATCGCGTCCGTTTGCGCGTCCCGCCATTCAGTTGCGCACCGAGTAGCCAATCCCGTCCTGCCACATTTGTCGCAATGGCGATTGCTAAAACTCAGCGAGATTGTCCTAGGTTCTACCTCAGTTTCTCGCGCACTTTCAAGGTTGGACTCTTGACTAGTAATAGTCACTCTCCCTCTCACCCTTCATGCGAGGTGGCATTTGCCTCGGAGTCGGAGTCAGCTCACGCATCATCAGGCCGCGTCGCACGACCCGTGCGACGTTCAAGCTGCGAGCACTCCCTTCCGCTAATAGTGCTAATAGTACTACTCCTACTACTAGCGGCGCTGCTCCGAGTCCCCCCGCGCGCGCATCATGGTTCCCGCAATGGGTGACGCTACTACGGGTAGCAGTACGAGTCGGAGCCGAGCCGGTAACAACTTGAAACCCCTTCTCCACACCGAGTCGTGCCCCGTAACCGGCGCGTGCGGCAAGATCAACTCCACATCTCTTTCCCGGACCGCCGGCCCAGAATGCCGCCGCCTCGGCCTCGGGTCCACGTCATCGTCGTCAGCGGCGCCGGGGATCGGCGCGGCGACCCCCTGGCTCCTACCAGTGGCTTCCGCCGCCGAGCGCGGCAACCAGCCGCACGCGGGGGACGTCGTTCGACGGAAACCACGCGGACTAACTCCGTTAACTACCACTACTACTGCTAGTAGTAGTAATACTACTGGTAGTAGGTATTTCGTGGTGACGAAGGATAGTCCCCGCGGACCTAGCATTGCCGCTCTGGCGGCTTCCGCCGCCGTGCGCAGCCCGCACGCGGAGGTCGTTCGGCGGAGAGCCGCGCCGTCGCTCGACATGGACGCGGTGTGGGGCGACGACGCGGCGGCGGCGGCTTCCCCGGAGTCTGCGCGCAGCGGATGCTCAGCTGCGGAAGGGAGATGGGGGAGGGAAGGGGCGATCGACAAAAGAGGCGGAATCGGCGGGGAAGGCGCAACCACAGGGGGAAAAGGCGCGGGTGGAGGGGAATCAGGCGCGGGGAGAAGCGGTGACTCGTCTGACAGCAGCGGGGGGGATGACGGCGGGTGTCTCCGTCTCTTGCGCTGCCCAGGGAGTAAAAATGCTACCAGCGGGCGCAAGATGATAAGCCCCGCCGCCGGTTCCGCCACAGGCGCCGGTCCGCCTGCGCGCGGCGCTTCCGCCGACCTCTTCCGCGGCTTCCGCCGCTCGCGGTCGACGTCCCACTGGGACGAGAAAGCCCACGAGCGATCCAGGGGCGGCATCGGGTTTCGGGTTACCCACGGTGGGTCCCTGCCGCGTGTCAGGTCCGCATCGGCAATAGCAGGGGGAGACGGAGGGGGAGGCGGAGGAGGAGGCGGAGGAGGAGGGGGCGGGGGAGGGGGAGGGGGAGGGGGAGGGGTTTGGGGACTTCCCCTTGAAGCGGAAGGGGCGGAAGGTGTGGCACCAGCGCCAGCGGCAGCAGTAGCGGTTCGGCTAAAGACTTCCTGTTTTAGCCCCGGCGGGCGCGGCGGCTCTTCCGCCTCGCCTTATCTGCCCGCCGCCGCGGCGTCGTCACCTCGACATCCGCCCCACCCGCCTCAGCCGCCTCATCCGCCTCATCCGCCCGCGTCTGTTGAGGTGCCTAAAAAATCGTCACCTCGTCAACTGCCCCACTCGACCCATTCCCCTTGGCGCCATCCGCCTCATCCGCCTCATCCGCCTCATCCGCCTCATCCACCGCCCGCGTGTTTTGAGACGCCTCAAAGCCCTCAAAAGCCGTCAACTCGAAAATCGTCGCGTCGCCATTCGGCCCATTCGGCCCATTCGCCTCATTCGCCTCATCCGCCCACGTCGTCGTCGCCTCGTCATCCGCCCTCCCCCCGACCTCGACTGACCCGTTCCGCTTCCGCTTCCGCCACCGTTGCGCCGCCGCGGGAAGGGGGCTGCAGCGCCGGTTGTTCCGCGGAGAACGTTCCCTGCCGCGCTGCTAACCCTTCCGCCAAGCTCGCACCGTGCATTCCCGGAGTTTTCGACGCGCCTCGGCAGCCGGGGCTCGCGGAAGAGCAACTGGTGGCGGAAGCGGCCGAGATGCTTCGCGGACTGTGCAGCGGGAGCAGCGGGGGCAGCGGGGGCAGCGGGGGGGAGAAATTCGAGGGGGAACCGCTGGGGAAAGAGTGGTTTCGGGGGAAGCAGTTGGGGGGGAAGCAATTGGGGGAAGAGCAATTCGGGGGGAAGCAATTCGGGGGGGAGCAGTTTGGGGGAAAGCAGAATGGGGGAGGTGGGGGGAACGCTGGGGGAAAGGTCGGCCATACTTCTGAATTCCCTCCAAGGTCGTCGCAGGTTGGGGTTGGTGTTGCCACCGATAATCCACCACGGGTTCCTATAAAGAGTATCTCGTTACAAGTACAGGAGCGGCTGAAGCACCTGCAGATACAGACTCTATATGCAGTCGAGCTGGAAATGTTTTCTGATTGCGAGTGGGGTGGTGGTGGCGAAGTGGAAAAGGTAAATTTAGCAAAAAACGCCTTTCGCCCACCTCCTTTCCCCCATGCGCCCATGTCTTCCCCATCCGCCTCCCCCCCTGCACCCGTCCCCTGCTCTTCCCCCTCACCAAACCACCCATGCAAGCCTATATCATCCATTTTTTCCCGCCCCCCTCCCCTCATCACACACCACACTCAACCAGACTCTACCCCGTCTTCGCCCCAGTCCCCCTCCTCCCCCTGTCATTCCCCCACCTTCCCCTGCGCCATGCCCCCCATCCCCTGCCCCATTCTCCCCGACCCCTCCCCCAATCCCCCTTCCGTCTCCCCCTCCAAGCCCCCCCGCTTCCCCCCTCGTTCTCCCAAGCTTACCCCATCTTCTTCTCTCCGGGCATCCCAGCAGCCCTTCGAAACGCCTCTACAGTTCCCCCCTCACTTCCCCAAGCCTTCCCCCTCCCCCTCCCCCTCTCTCAAAAATCCCTACCCTCTTATCGAGGCGCCTCAACAGCTCCCCCCTCGCTCCCCCAAGCTCTCCCCATCCTGCTCTCCCAGGGTCTCCTACCCTCAGGCATCCCAAGGCAGGCGTCCCGGCCTCTTCCAAAGAATGCACGAGGAGGAAGCAGACGCAGACGCGGAAGGGGAAGCGGATTCGGAAGCGGAAGCACGGCCGCATACAAGTGCTTTGCTGAAAGTGGGTGAAGGAGGTGCGAGGAGACGGAACACAGGACCAACACGGGGAATGCAGGAGGAGGGAACAGGAGCAGCAGCAGCAGCAGCAGAGGCAGAAGCAGAAGCAGAACCAGAAGTATGGCAGCATACAAGACCTTTGCTGAAAGTGGCTGTAGGAGATGTGAGGATTCGGAGCACGAGACCAACACAGGGAACGCAGGAGGGAGCAGGAGCAGAAGCAGAAGGAGAAGGAGAAGGGGAAGGGGAAGCAGAAGCGTGGCAGCACACAAGACCATCGAACAGCTTGCTTCTTTCCGGTTCAAGGAGTTTCCAGGAAAGGAGCTTACTAGAGAGGACTGTCCAGGCTACAGGCTCCCAGGAAGAGAGCCCGTTTCAGCTGAGGAGTCCTGTGAAGTCGTGTCTAGTGCTGGCGGATGCGGGTGTGGCCGGAGGGAGAGGCAGGCTGAAGAAGCAGGTGTCGTTCAGCCGGGTGGTGCACGTGCGGCGCTTTCAGTCGTGCGATGCGAGCATTGGAGGGCAGGGGTGATGCTGCTGAGCTGCATTGCTGGCGTGAGGTGAGTGGCCGGCTGAAGAAGCAGGTGTCGTTCAGCCGGGTGGTGCGCGTGTAGCCGTTCCCTTCGTGCGATTCCTTCCCTGACCTGGGTGACCTGGGTGACCTGGCTGACTGAAAATTGACATGACTGACTGAGGGTTGACGTGACTGACTGAGGGTTGACGTGACTGACTGAGGGTTGACGTGACTGACTGGGGGTGGACGTGACTGACTGAGGGTTGACGTGACTGACTGAGGGTTGACGTGACTGACTGGGGGTTGACGTGACTGGCTGAGGGTTGACGACTGACTGAGGGTTGACGTGACTGACTGAGGATTGACGTGACTGACTGAGGGTTGACGTGACCGACCGGGGGTTGACACGACTGACCGATGACTGACCAAGGGTTGTCATGCCTGACTGAGAGTTGACGTGACTGACAAGGTGGACCTTGATGTCATGGCATTTCAAATGAACAAAGGAACAATGCAACTTTTACCGGTAGTTGATTATACTTTTGTCGCGGTATGAGTCTCTTGAAATGTACAGGACATGTATTCTCATATGAAAGATGTGTTAGAATACAAGAAAAAATGACTAGAAGCAAGTGAGAACAAGGGAAATATAGGGTTGGAGTTGTACCCTTTAAGAACATACCACACATACCTAGCCTATGACTTCTACACACAAACATATGTATAAGTTGACACCCCCTAGGCTAGATTAAGGGGTACTGTTGAGCAAGAAAAACACATCTCAGGGTGGCACTACTAGTCCAACCTCTGAGGCAGGGGTCTGAAGACCAGTCACCAAGAGTACAAACAAAGCAAAAGAAAACCAGGGCGGCACTACTAGTCCTGACACTGGAAGAGAAGCCACAAGGCCAGTCTGGAAGGTATACATGTAGAGGAGTACACAATCAAGGTCATAGTAAGTGAGAGTCTACAAGAACTAGACCAAGCTGCAAACAGTGCCGCTGATGATCTTTAGGCGCAAGTGCCTTAGTAAAGATATAAGCCGTGTTGGCACCGGAGGCCAAGTGTACTACGCGGGCCTGGCGACGCTGCGGTAGCTCGCCCAGGAGGAAGTATCGCAGCTGGATGTGCTTCGCTCTGCCCTCAAGTCGAGGCTCCTGACACAGGAGGATAATTGCCGTGTTGTCAGCGTACAAGACCGGGACAGAGCTAGGCCGCTCACCTAAGTCAGTGAGCAAGAAGGTTAGCCAACGGAGCTCCTGTGCCGCCATGGCACCGGTGTAGATCTCAGCCTCACAGCTAGACTGGGCAACAGACGAGGAGCGAGTGGACCTCCACGATTTCGCACCCGAACCAAGGCGTAAGCAGTAGCCCTAGGAGGACTTGGGGGTCTCAGCGTCGTCTGCCCAAGAAGCGTCTGTGTGTTCAGTAAGGACCATTGGCCGACGTCCTCCTAGCACTAGCCCCATGCCAAATGTACTTGCTAGATAACGCAAAACCCCCTTAGCGGCCGACCACTGCTGTGGTCGGTGTTTGCCTGTGGCCACAAAGCGAGCCAGGATGCTGAGAGGGTATGCGAGATCTGGACAAGTGCAAGTCATCAGGTACACGAGACAACTCACCAGCTCTGCGTAAAGACCACTGGGCACTACTGACTTCTTAGGAACTGGAGTTGTGAGCCTGTGGTCCACTGGCAGAGATGTGGGCTGTGCGGAGGAAAATTGAAGACCGAACCTCTGAAGGACCTGGCGCACCAAGTGTGAATATGTGAGAGTAATGGTGCGCGCTGCTCTGTCCCTGGAGATCTGCAGGCCAAGGTAGCGGCGCAGCTTTCCTAGGTCAGTGCAGGTGTGTCTCTTCAGCAGCTCGGCCTTCACAAAGGCCAGCGCGTCTCTGTCTGCAGTAGCAAAGACCAGGTCGTCTACATAGACAAGGATGTAGAACGGAGTCTGGCCAGCACGAACGAAGAGCGAGGGGTCTGCAGACGATAGAAAGAACTGCAGATCAGCTAGCGTAGCAGGCAACATGTCGTGCCACTCACGGGACGCCAGTCGCAGGCCGTAGACTGGGCGCCAGAGGAGCCACTGGGTCCCAGGAGGGAAGGTACCGGTGAAGCCCTGAGGACGGCGCAGGTAGACCTGCTCGTGTAGACTGCCCTGAAGAAAAGCAGTGGAAAAGTCAAGGGAGTGGAGCTCGTAGTCACGCTGTGCTGCTACGTGTAGCAGCGCCCGAAGAGTAGTCATCTTCGGGGTCGGGGCGAAGGTCTGAAAGAAGTCCACACCCTCGCGCTGACTGAAGCCTCTAGCGTCAGGCCTTGTGGCTTCTCTTCCAATGTCACTATTAGCCCCGAGCCACAAGGCCACTCTCTAGAAGAAGGATTATGCACATGCAGCTCACTAGGGGGGCGCTTCACCTTGAAGAGCCACCGACCATCGACTACGTTCACCCCAGGCGAGGGAACTGCGTTGATGTAGGTGCCGGTGGATCTCCAATATGTCAGCTCCTGCTCCATGGCAGCTATCCACTGAGAGGCCCAGGGTCTCGAGGTCGCCTCAGCATAAGTGCTAGGGGTCGAGATGTCAAAAGTGTCTGGGTCACCCTCAGGGACTAACTGTCAACTTATACATATATTTGTATAAGTTGACAGTAGGCGTGAGCAAAACCGGGTATTTACCCGACCCGACCCGGTTTTGCTATACCCGACTTCGGGTCGGGTATTTTCGGGTCGGGAACTGGTCGGGTAACAAGCTCATGACCAATACCCGGACCCATGATTTGGCGGCGGGTAATTTTATACCTGCCTGGCGGGTCCGGGTATAATCGACCCAGTTGCCTTGATGAGCGGGTTGTATTACCCGCATTTTCCTACCGTGCTGGGCTAAACCTACGACCTAAAAACGTGAGCCGCGGGAGGTAATCTTTTACAGTTCAAGTGAGTTGGGCGTGAGTGGGGAGGTGCTTGGATTTTCTATTTGGGATGGGGTTGTGAGCGGTTTTTGGGGTTTTGGTATTTTGACCCCCAGAGTCAATTGGTTGGAACTCCAACCAATGTGGTGCTTTGCGGTTGGCTGGATTAAGGTTGGGTTGCAAAATAGTCTCAGAGTTAGAACGAATGACTAGCATGAGGGGATACAAGGGTATATAGCTAGTGGGCTGTACTCTCTATGGCAAGACCCTATGTAGTGTAGTAACCATACACAAATATGTTTGACATACCACCTAGAGTAGATAGGGGCAGAGCCTGGTGAGAGACAAACAGCCCAAGGCGGCACTACTAGTCCAACCACTGGAAGGAAGCCACAAGGCCACTCAGGATAGTATATAAAGAGTTATACACAATCAAGGTCGTAGCAAATGAGGTGCTACAGGAACGAGTCCAAGCTGTACACAGTGCCACTGATAATCTTTAGGCGCAAGTGCCTTCCTAAAGATATCAGCTGTGTTGGCACCGAAGGCCAAGTGTACTACGCGTGCCTGGCGACACTGCTGTAGCTCGCTCTGGAGGAAGTACCGCAGCTGGATGTGCTTCGCTCTGCCCTCGAGTCGTGGCTCCTGACACAAGAGGATCATGGCCCTGTTGTCAGCGTACAGGGCCAGGGAAGAGCCAGTCCGCTCACCTAAGTCTGTGAGCAAGAAAGTCAGCCAACGGAGCTCCTGTGCCGCCATGGCACCGGCGTAGATCTGAGCCTCATAGCAAGTCTGGGCAATAGACAACGAGCGGGTGGACCTCCACGAGACAGCACCTACACCAAGGCTAAAACTGTAGCCCTGGGAGGACCTGAGAGTCTCGGCGTCGTCTGCCCAAGAAGCGTCTGTGTGCCCGTTCAGGACCACTAGTTTGCGTCCTCCTAGCACTTGCTAGATGCACTAGCACCTCCTAGCACTTGCTACTTGCTAGCCCCATGCTTCTTGGGCAGACGACGCCGAGACACTCAGGTCTTCCCAGGGCTACTGCTTCAGCCTTGGCTCAGGTGCCGTCTCGTGGAGAGCTACCCGCTCCTCGTCTGTTGCCCAGTCCAGCTGTGAGGCCGAGATCTACGCCAGTGCCATGGCGGCACAGGAGCTCCGCTGGCTGACCTTCTTGCTCACTGACTTAGGTGAGCGGCCTAGCTCTGCCCCGGTCCTGTACGCTGACAACAGGGCCATGATCCTCCTGTGTCAGGAGCCTCGACTCGAGGGCAGAGCGAAGCATATTCAGCTGCGGTACTTCCTCCTGCGCGAGCTACAGCAGCGTCGCCAGGCTCGCGTAGTACACCTGGCCTCCGGTGCCAACACGGCTGATATCTTTACGAAGGCGCTTGTGCCTAAAGATCATCAGCGGCACTATGTACAGCTCGGTCTAGTTCCTGTAGCTTCTCACTTAATAGGGCCTTGACCCTGTAGCAAGTGTACTGTACACTTGCTAGATAACGCAGAACCCTCATAGCTAGAGACCAGTGCTGTGGTCGGTGTCTGCCGGAGGCCACAAAGCGGGCCAGGATGCTGAGAGGGTATGCGAGATCTGGACGAATGCAAGTCATTAGGTACATGAGGCAACCCACCAACTCTGCGTAAGGACCACTAGGCTCTACAGCCTCCTCCAGGATTGGAGCAGAGAGTCTGTGGTCTACTGGCAGAGGGGTGGGCTGTGTGGAAGAGAACTGGAAGCTGAACCTCTGAAGGACTTGGCACACCAAGTGTGACTGTGTGAGAGTGATGGTGCGCGCTGCTCTGTCCTTGGAGATCTGCAAGCCAAGGTAGCAGCGCAGCTCTCCTAGGTCAGTACAGGTGTGTCTCCTCAGCAGCTCGGCCTTCAGAAAGGCCAGTGCGTCTCTGTCTGCAGTAGCAAAGACCAGTTTGTCTACATAAACAAGGATGTCGAACGAAGTCTGGCCGGAGCAGACGAAGAGCGAGGGGTCCGCATACAACGGGAAGAACTGCAGGTCAGCAACTGTAGCACGCAACGTGTCGTGCCACTCACGGGGTGCCTGGCGCAGGCCGTAGACAGGGCACTGAAGGAGCCACTCAGTACCAAGGGGAAAGGTACCGGAGAAGCCCTGGGGGCGGCGCAGGTAGACCTGCTCGTATAGACTGCCCTGGAGGATAGGTGTGGAGAAGTCGAGGGAGTGTAGGTTGTAGTCACGCTGTGCTACTTCGTATAGTAGTACCCGAAGAGTAGTCATCTTCGGGGTCGGAGCAAAGGTCTGAAAGAAGTCAACCCCCTCACGCTGACTGAAACCACAAGTAATGTAGCGCGCCTTGAAGACAGACAGCTTTCCAGGAGGGCGCTTCACCTTGAAGAGCCATCGGCCATGGACTATGTTCACCCCAGGTGGGGGAACTGCGTCGACGAAGGTACCGGTGAATCTCCAAGATGCCATCTCCTGCTCCATGACAGCTATCCACTGAGAGGCACAGGGTCCCGAAGTGGCCTCATCGTAGGTGCGAGGGGCCAGGATGTCAAGGGCGTCTAGGTCACCCTCAGGGACTAGAAGCATGGAACAGAGATGGGGAGCGGCCTCTAACAAGAATGCAAGCTTGTAATGTCTGTCCTCTAGGATGTCATTGCCAAGGGCAGCCACACCCCCGACGGACGGAGGGCAGGCAGGGTCAGAGACTAGA